GTTCCTAAATTTAGGACCTGCTGGACAAGTGATGAAAATATCCTCAAAGTTGGTAAGTGTATAATTTCTAAACTTCCCCTTATGTAATTTCTATGGAGACAGTGAAATGAGGTTGAAATCACATTTAATGACACACACACACACGCTATCACACAATTACAATACTGCCATATGGTCTAAATTGTCCTGATTTTTGTTTTTTATTCCACAGGCCTTGACTATATCAGAGGCCACTTGGACTGTCGGGCCGAGTATCACATCACTGAAGGCTCCCAATCATCTGAGGAAGAGGACTTCTTCTCCTCCTTGAAGAAGACCGGCCCTCTTGAAACGGCCCAGCAGTTGGATACGTACCTGGGGTGCCCAGGAGACACAGTAGAGGTACTGAAGTCCTTCCCAGCTGTGTTCCAGCTATCACTTAAGCTTAATACGGCACTCCCTGCCTCAGCAGCCTGTGAAAGACTGTTTAGTGTTGCAGGTCTCATCTTCAGGCCAAGAAGGGCAAGCATTGGCTCAAAGAACTTTGAGAATCAGCTGCTTTTGCGGCTTAACAAAGGTTATTGGTAATTCTTTGTTGCATGTTCTGCACTTAACTGATGTAGATCCTGAGTACAAAATGTTTGTTAGATAGATTTGAGCATAGTACATACTATCAGGAATGTATTAGTTATTTATTTTTTAATAAATCACTTGGATTAATCATTCATTTTGACAGCACATGTTTATTGTGTATTGACAACCATACAAGGGTAATTGTTACTAATCCTGCCCTGGTACACCAATTTTCTCATCCATTGCCCTCACAGATTCCTTACAGCTAAGCTTGGATGTACATTTACATTAATGTATAGGTTATTGATGACGTGACTCTGATTTTTGACTTTTGCACCATTAGAATACTTATACGTAACTAACTAGTCATCATATCTTCTGCTCCATGAAACACATGTTAATGCTCAGGAGTACACATATATTCTTTATCTTTAATGTATTTGCATTGTACTAAAATGCATTTATTTTCAATGGGCATATATGTGACTGAAATGGTAGCCTAGTGCATCTTACATTTTTCAATATTAACATTTTAATATAACATTTGTCATTACAGCCTTTAGAAAAATATTTTTTTGAGGAGGTGGGGTATGGCACAATATGGTCCGTATGACGTAAGCTTTTGTCCTTAATGGCATTTTCCTTACATTACTTCTACCTTTATACTTTAAGTGGTTTTAAAACCAGTACTTTTATACTTTTACTTGAGTAAAAAGCTTGAGTTGATACTTCAACTTGTACAAAAGTCTTTTTAAACGCTAGTATTTATACTTCTACTTGAGTAATGAATGTGAATACTTTTGACACCTCTGGTATTCAGACCCTTTGCTCAGTATTGAGCAAAGGGGACGCTAATCACCTCCCAAGATCTGGACAATATGTACGGATCATCGGATTCTCAGGAATGAAACAACTGATTCCCATTTCACACCCCGTTCCCCTGCAATTTAAAGGAAAAACTGTTGAACTGGCAGTATATCAGATCAAACTCCTGTGAATTTGCTTGGACGAGACACTTTGTGCAAACTGGATTGTGACATTCGATGTACCCCGGCTGGGGTGCTTGTGGATACTGCACAAAACCAGATGACTGTGAGAAAAGATGAGGCAGTGGTCTATTGGCTGGGGGGTGTGGGCTGGCGGATTTGAGTAACACCTTTATGGAGCCAGCTAAAACCTGGATGGATTTCATTAAGGCTAATATGTCAGAAGTCGTGTCCCCCGCCTGTCGTCTTCACTGCACTGTTCAATATTATAAGTCTGGATCCACAGCAAAGCCAGATATTTAGCTTAAGGACCAGCCAGAGACAGTTTAAATACAGTCTTCTTCCACTGTGCTTGGCAAGTAGGGAGCTGCAATGGTAGTAGAGAAAGGTCTGTGTCTGGATCAAGAATTCAGAATAAAAAACAGCGTTCCACACGTTACACTGTTGGTAAACCCAGGCTATGAGCCGAAACATTTGGATCCAATGATGTAGAGTCAAAAGAAGCAGAATTTGTGCCCAACAGATAACAAAAAAATTTGGCTGAGTGAAGATTGATCTTTTATCAAGATATTCATCTCTGCTGCAGGCAGGGCTCATCCTCAGGTCATCCGACTTCCCTGCCAACCTGTGTTCTGCCTTCAACATTCAGATGTTGAGAAAGAAACGGTGGCCAGAGTGCCAGCAGAGTTGTGGTCAAAACATGACACTGATGTGGGGCTTATCAATTCCGCACAACCCGTGGAGGTGAAGTTGAGACCAGGTTGCAGACCTCCATGGAAACCACAATATCCACTGAAACCTGAGGCAGAGGCAGGCATTGAGCAGATGATACGAGGCCTGCTGGAAGCAGGTGTGCTGGTGGCTGAACCAAATCCATGCAGTAATGCACCAATTTTGCCAGTAAAAAAAGCTGACAAAAGTAAGTATCGACTAGTACATGATCTGCGAGCTCTAAATGAGGTCATGGAAGATTTTAAACTGGAAGTTCCAAATCCACATACCCTGTTGTCAAATGTTCCATCGGACGCTAAGTGGTTCACGGTGGTTGATTTGTTTTCTGCGTTTTTCAGTGTGCTGCTGAGTGAGAACAGTCGGCATCTTTTTGCATTCACGTATAGGGGACGCTCTTATACCTATACGCGAGTTCCGATGGGCTTCATACATAGCCCACATGTGTTTAACAAAGTCCTGAAAGAGGACACGGAGGACTTGGTAGGTAAGATCTCGAGCACTGTCCTCCAGTACGTTGATGACATCATTTTGTGTGCATCAGACTTTGAGACGTGCCACCAAGACTCCATGACCTTATTAACAATGCTAGCTGAACGAGGACATAAAGCTTGTCTAGACAAACTACAGTATTGTCAGAACCAGGTGGAGTATTTGGGTAGATTGATCAGAGAAGGGACACAAGCTGTGTTCCCCTCACAGTTACAAGCAGTGTCCATGACACCTAAGCTCACCACAGTGAAGGAGATGATAAACTTCCTGGGAATGACTGGCTACAGTGCAGAGTGGATTGATGGATATTCCACTATTGTCCAACCATTGAGAGATATGGTTAAAGCAGGAGGTGTCGGAAACCTCCAGGGGAAGTTGACGTTGAATTCCGAAGAAAACATGGCATTTGAGACAATCAAATCATTACTGCAGCAAGCACCGGCTTTCACTCTCCCAGACTATGAGAAACCATTTTTGTTGTACGTGTCATGTTGACAGAACCACGCCTGTGGGCTGCTGACCCAAAAGACAGGAGTAGGTTCCCATGCGCAGCCTATAGCATATTATTCAGTGGCTTTAACTCCAGTTGAGCTGGGGCTGCCACCTTGTTATCATCACTTGGCTACAGCACATTTGATGTATGAGAAAGCGTCAGCCCTGACAGTGGGCTATCCTGTGGAGATTTTATCTAATCCCAAACTGGTAAACTTGACTGAGAAAGGTAAGTTTGTGTTAACCACACAATGGCTCAGTGATTATCATAGACTTCTGGAGTATCCAGATGTGACACTGTGGGTGTGTAAAGTAAAGAATCCAGCTGATTCCATTCCACTGCCTTTTGAGGGAAAGCCACATGATTGTGTGGCTGAGGCAGAAAGATATGCCAAACTACACTCTGATTTGAGTACGGGTCCTCTGGAGGCTGTGGATATGACATTGTTTGTGGATGGATCATGCTTTAGAGAGGGAGAGGCTCTCAGAGCAGGATTTGCAGTGGTAAAAGAGGAAGATGGGAAGATGCAGGTGGTGTGTAGTCAACAGTGTGCCCAGCCTTGCTCAGCACAACTGGCAGAGCTGAAAGCTCTGACACTTGCATGTGAGCTTGCTGAAGGCAAGTGTGCTAATGTGTATACAGATTCAGCCTTTGCTCATGGTGTTTGTAATCTGTTTGGATCAGCATGGAAAGGAGGAGGCTTCAAGAAAGCTGAAGGCTTGCCTGTATTGCATGGGGACCAAATCAAGAGGCTCTTGACAGCAATGATGAAGCCAAAAGCCCTTGCTATCATCAAGTGTGCCGCTCATCAGAAAGATGATTCAGTGGTCACACAGGGAAATGCAGCTGCCCATCAAGCAGCAAAGAGTGCGGCCTCTGCAGGTGAGAAAGCCATCATGGTTGTTCATGACATAGAGGCAGAGGAGCAAATAACCCTCAAGGACTTGTCCTGGCTACAAGATGAAGTACCAGAAGCTGAATCTCAGCTATGGGTTCAGAGAGGAGCAGTCAGAGATAGTGAAGGAGTGTGGAGGAACCATAAGGGTCTACTGGTGGCCCCCAGTGGTTTGCTGTCTCTGTTAATAAATGAGGCTCATGGGTTGAGTCATGAGTCAATTGGTGAAGTGTTGAGGAGAATCAGAGAGTGGAATCTCTGGGCTCCAAAGCTGCAACAACATGTTGACAGAGTTTTAAGTTGTTGTGAGACATGTCTCAAGTGTAATATTAGACGGGGTATGGTTCCCCTGAGGGACACCTCCTGGTTCCAGAAGGCCCCTTCATGCACTTGACCATGGACTTTGTGGACATGGTCAGACCAGTGCAGGGCAAATGATACATGCTCGTGGTTATAGATTGGTTCAACAGCTGGCCAGAGGCCACACCTGCTAAGCACAAGAATGCAGACACAGTGGCTAAGTTTCTGTGTAAAGATGGTTTGTCCAAGGTTTGGCTTGCCCATCAAAATTAGTTCAGATAATGGGAAGGAGTTTGTCAATAAGACAGTGAAGTGTGTTTTGCAGAGACTAGGGATCAAGCAACGTTATGGTAGTGTGTATTGTCCAACTTCACAGTCTGATGTTGAAAGATGTAATGGGATCCTGAAAAATAAACTGCTTAAGTTTTGCATGAGCACTGGGTTAAACTGGGTAGATGCTTTGCCACTAGCACTCATGGCATGCAGAGCAAGCGCTTACAGAGTGCTGGGGCTAACCCCGCATGAGGCTTTGTTTGGCCGGCCAATGCCTTCGCCAGTGTACAGAGCTGTGAAGGGTCCGTTGTTGGACATTTTGACAAATGACATGAAATCATATGTGAAGCAAATGACTAACATACACAGGAGTATCTCCTCCCGTGTTGTTTCTCTACAGGCTAGAGAGGTCCAGGAGGATGATGAGCCTAAAGTATTACTGCATAGATTTTACTGTATAATCATTGAGCCTATTAATTTTAACACATAATCTGTATCTGTGCAAATTCTCAGTCATCCAGGTCATAGTAAACCGCAACCACATAATGCCACATAATCTGTACTTACCACAAAACATGTGAAGAGCTGTTTTCCATTTTTCCCTTTTTTCCTTTCTATTACAGCTACCTGTTACTCTATTGTGATAAGACAGAATTATATT